AGTCATTCACCAAAGCTCGTTGCCAAATAACGTCGTAAGTAGTTTATCACTAAATAAATTGCAAATTCGAGAGCCTCGTCAATCTCCGAATCTGGTGGCCTTCAACATGAAGACCGATGCAAACGGGTCAAGTAGGATGTCTTGCAGGTACAATGAACTCTGAGAATTGATGTTTACTGCGTATGAGAATTCATGCAGTTGAGCCGCAGCTCTGACATAATAATGATGCTTTCGGATAATTTTCATGCGCAGGTTGAATAGCTGAACGTACCGGAATCCTATCTAGGAAAGCGCTTCGCTCTTCCCGCCCAGCGAACACAACGGTGATCGGTTACTTCAGTTCTGTACAGATCTTCGGTTGTTCTTATGTAATGCCAACTCTTCACGCAGCTCACGTCGGACAGCAACATGGTGTTCTAGTTCAACTGATAAGTTGGCCCAAATGGACCACAGCTGTAAGCTACCGTTAGCATGGCTCAGTATAAAATTACAGATCTTGCGTTTAGTCTGATCACGCACTGGCTCTAGTGCGCTTCCCGCGTCTACTTATCAGTTGTTGCCGAAAATCGCCTCCTCGGTTAACTGATTGTCTGCACGACCCAGGAACTGGGAGCACCATGACGTCGCGGAGTAGATTACCAATGAAATCAGATTAATATATGTAATGCATTCGCAGTAAACTTTGCTTGGGTGGCTAAGCTCGAAGTTCGTCGATGACAACTAGCCTGGTGCTAGTGTAGTTATTCTGGCGATAGCAGCAGAAACTCTATGGGTGATAACATGTGAACCTCCAACAAAACTAGAAGTCAGAAACTGTATTCAATCGCTCAAGAAAGGCAAGGCAGCGGACTCGATGGGCCTCTCCTCCATTATAATCCGGGGAGGGGGGGGGGGGGNTACTCAATCACTAGTTTACTTCGCAGTATCTGGTCGGAAGAGCGTATCCCTTCATCCTCAGTTGAATCGTTAATCGACAACGACGCAACCAATCAAATCACAGCAAATAGTCACAACTGACCAATAGGAGTGAAGGGACGCAAACGGCCAATCAAAACCTTCGAACAGAACTATGTAATCGTGGTCACACTATGGACTGGCGCTTCTCGGAAGTTGCAGTTATGATGTTGCCTAGTCTGGCTGCAGAACGTCAACGAACAACACTTCCAGCTCGGACAACACACCGCCAACAACATTCCTATTCAATTTCGTCGTAGACGCACATGGTGATCTACAAAATGTTGGCATTGAATGGGCAACCGGAGGCCGTCAGGTCGGCGAAAATCTTCCTGTAGATCGGTCTGGTACTATGAGAGATAGCAGTCAACCAGTAAGAGACTGCTGAAGATCTTAGAGGATTCGTGAATGTACGAGCTATTACGTAAGTCCCCAATCTGCTCACTTTTATTCGTCATCTGTCCCCGAATGTTCGAATATGGATTATCGAGCACATTTATTAGAATCCTTAGAACCAAATCATGTATATATATAATGAACAATTTTTCCCTCAGTGTAACGCATGTGAATGTTTCTGAATACAACTTCTTGCTGATCTGGTTGGTCTCGGATTTTGGGAGGTCGGCAGTTGAAGAGTTGGACTTTGGAAAGCGTGATTTCGCGAGATATAATGGAGACAAGCTATGCGATTTGGAATGCGACGACGACACCGTATGTCTGTTCGATTGTATGGACGAGGTCCAAACCGTTCTTGACAGACTTTCAAGTTCTGTAATTTCATTTGGTATACACTGTGCACCTTCAAAGTGCAAATTGCTGCTGTAAGACTGTCGTCTACTCCGGTTTTTCTGCTTGAATTACAGATAGTGTATTGCTTCCTCTTATCCACTTAGTTGTATAGCAAATGTCGACAAGGTGATAAAAAAGTAACCGCTCGCATATGCTATGCACGAGCACGCAGGACTGAAACACTTGGTGCGAAGGTGATGTTTCCTTGAAGCGGAAAAAGTCACCTATACTGCTGCGTCACTGTGTGGTCAATTCCGCTCTACGGTTCCATGACCCTAAATTTGCTCTAGGAAGACATTTATCATTTAAAATTCTGCGAATGTCGATGTTTATTTAGTTAGGCCCAGGTTGACGGGTCCGATCCTGTAAGTAACACTGACTTAAATCGTCAAATATTTATCAATGATTCGTTTGAAGATTCTTTATCACATTGAATTCAATTTTAAAAGGCTTTGTCGGTTAGACACACGTTACGCATTCCCAGCTGTCGTCTACCACACCGCGCCTTATTTGCAGTTGCCACTTCCGTTTGGAGGAAGTCACGTAAAGGTCAGCAGATGATGTGAAAACGACGCAGGTACCAGTGTACAGAGCAATTCGATAGGGTAGGGGTCTCCGGTCTTCCAAGTTGAGGCCCAAATGACTATGTTGCTGGTTGGTGGATGACCCTAAAGGACATGGCAACTAACCGACGATAGTGTCATTATTTCACTTCTTACCAGCTTAGAATGCTTGAAAATGTGTGTATGCACAGTTAGGTTGTGCACTGTGTACTGATCATAGGGCTTCACCTTATTTATCTCTCCGGTTAGATCCAATCCTAGTCCATCTTGTACATTCTCACCCACTTTCCGTAAATTGTGAGCTTGGTAGGCATCAGTGTATTCCGCTTCATTGTGTTTCACCCTACGATGCTGATGATGTCATTATAAGCTTGCGAGCCCTTTTCGATTGATCGGTGCTACTATGTGTGTGTGTGTGAGAGAGAGAGAGAGAAAGTAAGTAAGTGAGTGAGCATTGGAGAGGGATGCATTGGTGTCGGTTCTTTCGGAACGGCACGAAAAAACACCACATGCACTGGCTGAGTCAAGGTGGTTCGGGATCAATCTCATCTACAACTCTCGATCCTTGGATGTGCACTGGTCTTCGGGTTAACCCCGTGAGACGATCTGAATTTTAGGCATTAGAAGAGCCATCTGTTTTAGACATTTGTCCTTCGAACGATGGATCCATGCTATTCATTTCCCGCGGGTTTATAAACCCTCTTCTTCCCCCCTGCCCACACAATAACGTCGATTTCTTGGAATCGGGTCACACGGTCAACCAGACAGCTGAAAACTCCAACAGCATGGGAACATGGACCAATATGTTTAACTCCTCACTCAGTGCACCCGTACTTCCCGCTAAAATACACGATTGATTTTTGTATATGGACTATGGTAATCTAATGATCAGGTCACTTTGGTGATAAGTACCTCGGGTTATCTCATCCTTCTCGACAGTAGCACATTTTCCCTATTCCATTCCCATAGTGATTCACATGTTGAAATCCTAGTACCAAATGTTCTCAGTCAAAGGTAATTTCCCTGAAATACGAGTCTAACTTTTCTCTACCGTTTGTCAGTTTGCCATATATCAACATTTGGGACTAAAGTACACCGGGGAAATCTGCCTCATCCGTCAACTATACTTACCGTTCAGGTTTTAATTATGCGCTATTTTGCGACAGCGATTTCGTTGCTGGAAATAGGAAGGAAAATTGGGCTGATGTGGTTGTATTCATTTTATCGATGGATTGTTCAGTTTCACTGTGACTGTTTATGCCGTAATCCAGCTAACTTACCACATCAAGTGTTTCATAGTTTTTTTTACGCAACCCATCTTCAACGTGTATTGTTCAAGGGATGAGTACATTACACTACTTAGGAAACTGTCGATTCAATTCCCATTGCTAACAGCAAACAATGGATGCCTATTTCTCCCCGTGTACGGAGCTCGTCAACACCGCTCAAACAAAGCGGTCGCTAGCGAAAGAAAACACTACTGGTACTGCTATCTGTATTTGTTGACAAACAGCTCGGCTCAACGGTACACACGTTCTACCCTGAAGAAGTGCACCTACCCCCCCCCCCCNCCCTCCACTTTAAGCCCTCATGACGTCTAAATTTTCGAGCAGAGTAGTTTATCGTGACAAAGTTTTCGATTACTCTTCTTAGAAACAAGTGAATGATGAACTAGAGAAGAAAGATTTCAGGATAAAATTCTCTCAAGAGTACAGCATCACAATGCACGCACAATTTCTCCCTCCCTCAACAATATCGTATCTCGCACGATCAGGGTATACCAGGAACAGTCACACAAACTGTACCGTGATGAAGTGGAGTTCTATGTGTCGAAAGGCGAGGCAACCGTGACGTTTGGTGAGGTAAGTTCCACATTCTATCTCAGTGCACTGCATTTGTCCGCAGTTAACTGTTCTTATTCAGTCACATCCCCACCGCCATTTGTCTCAGAAGTTGAGCTGTCCAGTGTGTGCCCCTTATTTGTTCGTTTTTTCGGAGCTTCCCACAAATAAACACTCGTTTTTCGCCTCTTCAACTGGATGTGCGTCGCATCGAGCTGTTACGGGTCTATTTTCTAACGACGTAGTAAAAAGGCAATAACATACTATGTGGATAATGCTTAAATGTGTGTGCGTGCTCGCGCAAGGATTTGGCATACAAAAGAACTAGCATATATTGTTTACCTTGGATTTCATTAAGAAACAACCGTGTTGTTCGTTTGATATATATAT